TTTAAGTCCAATTTGCTGGTAAAAAGATTATTCTTCTTGCTAAATGCAGCTTTTGCCATGGCAATCCTGGATTTAATTTCACTAGTACACCTTCCATCATCTGTTAACAAGGTACCCAAATATATTTTACTCATAACCACAATAAAATTAAAATCTTCCTGTTTTACATGCAAATAATTCTTGTTGCCAGCGCTTCTGGTTAACTGTCTAAATAATCTTCTCCTGTCTTCTACTTCCTTAATTTTTCTGTTCACATGTTGAATGTCCTGCAGTCTGGAATGAATCTAAAATGTATGCCCATGGTTCTTGCAGAAGTCCGTGGACATGCGAATGTATTTTGTAGAAGTTTCTAAATTTTTGTCTTTGTTAAGGTTGACATAAGTGAGAAATTCCATTCTGTACTGTACAGCTGGGCATCTCTTAGCTCGTAATAAAGGCCTGTTGAATTGTTCTGAGGGCAAGTTCTTGTTTCAGTTATATCAGCATTGTACAGATGGTGCAACATCTGTACGTGTTGGAGATTTTCCTGCATTCAGTTAAAGAATGGCTGGAGTATTTTTCTTCTGTTGTTTATGTTATCTACTCCTCTGATCTGATATAGGCCTATCTATGGGGATGATGATGGTTACTCCTTATTGGTTAGCACCCAGTTTCACTGTTCATTCACTCATGCTGTCACCTCCCATTCACTGTACACTGCTAGGTCTATGTATTGCTGCTTCCAAAACTGAAGATTGCAGCTGCAATGTTTGCTGAAAAATGAAACCTTTGATATTCGATTTGGCTTAGTCCCAGAAGCCAGAGTTATACTTCTGTCATGTTGCATAAAGCCACAACCTCCTGTAGCATAATGCAACCGAGAGCGAGGAGCATGCCTGGTGAGGAACCATTTGCTAAGATACTTTTGGTCACATGCCAAGATTGGTCCAATTTTACATATATTGTTTGATATTGAGAAATTAAAGAATGACTTTTTAAACAAAACAACAGTAAGCGATTAGAATGTAATAAGATATTTTTAAAGGAATTGTGTTTGTTGTAGTGTTCTATAATCTTTATAAAATATATTGTAACATGTTGCGCAACGGAGAACCCCTCCCTACCCA